CCCACACGACATCTCCAGGCCCCACACGACGTCACGAGGCCCCACACGAGGTGGCGGTTTGCTCGTTCACTCCGACGTCCGCCGGGGGACGGGTGCTCAGGGGTCTCTGCCTTCCCAGGTACCAGGTCCGGGCCGGGAGCTGGAGGCAGCCATGAACCATTTTTAAAGAGAGGGACACGCCCTGAGAGGTGCAGGATTAAACCCCCTGCTGTCCTAAAACCGCTGCCTGCCCCCAGGGAAGTCCGTGAAGCAGCAGCAGCAGCAGCAGCAGCAGCAGCAGCAGCAGCAGCGGCAGCGCACACTCCGGCTTGGTCTGGGTCAGTCTGGTCGTGTGGCCTAGCGTCTGGGGCACCACCGACTCCTCGGTTCCCTCCAGAGCAAAGGTGTTTGCACGCACCCCCCCCCCCACGCCTCTTCCCCCTCCCTCGCTCCCCCTCCCTCCCCTTCTTCACCCATGGGGTCCAGGTGAGCAGCCTCTAATTCTGATGGTCACACCCACAACCTCTCTGGGTGGCGGTTCTGTAGCCCAACACCAAAGCTTCCTCTGGTTTGCTTAGAGCTGGTTCTTGGTGGTGGTCCCGTGTCCACGAGTCCCTCACCCTCGGTTGGAGATGCTTGGTCCTGGGAAGCACTTCCCACTGTGGACTGAGGGGGAAGGAAGCCAGGTGGCAGTGGTGTGGCCTAGGATGCTCCCGGGTCCCTGTGAAGTGGGATCGATCCACATCAGGGTCCCTGTGTGAACCGGGAAGAATGTTCCTGAAACATTGGCTGCCCCAGGTTGATGGTGACGCTGATCTATGTTTTTAGTTAAGGAGACATCGTTTCTGTTTTGAAACTAACACTCGTGCCCTGACACCTGCTTGGCCCTGGACTGCGTCCGCAGGTGGTCAGCCAGGCAGGAAGCAGGGCCACCGCAGACCAGCTCTGTCTGCACCCTGCCCCTGTCCTAGCTCAGGGGCTGGCACCTGTGGCAGCAGGTGGAAGAAAAGGTGTCTGGACACACCGGAGCAAGAGGGGCTCTGTGGGGCCTGGGAATCTGCTCCGGTGTCCGCCCGAGCTCAGGGACACCCACCACCTCTGCTATCTCAACAGGCACAGGGCTGGGCTCCCTGCTGGCCCAGCTCCTGAGTGCTGGGTTCCAAGGCCTTGGCCTTGGCCAGAGCCACCTTCTCTTTTTGATAGACAATGACAGTGGGTCCTTCAATGGTCCAGGGGCAGATGACCAGGCCGGGGGAAGTTGGAGACCACTGTGGTATGCAGGGCTTTCGGAACAGGCCGTCCCTGGGGGAGAAAAACCCCCCAGTGGGCTCTTAGAGGGGAGGGGAGGGCTGAGGACCCAGCTCTGTCCCTTCTTTTGTTAATAATGAGAACCAAGAAGACCAGGGACTTGCCTGCACACCAGGGCTATCCCCAGCTCAGGAACTTTCTCCCACATTGTGTCTGTCCCACCGGCTCCAGGAAGCCCGGAAAAGCTGGCAGGGGTCTAGGATGAGCGTCTTCCTCACCTTCACCTTCGCTCGACTGGCTCAGGCTTCTGCAGGTGACGTCCCCCGCTGAAGGATCTGGTGCAGAGCCACATCCGTCACTGAACTCGGAGGCCAGCGCCCCCCTCTGCAGATCCTTCCCCTTGACAAACCGTGTATTTCATCTACTTCCCGTGATCTTCTTGCATTATTTCAATATTATTAATACTTGGCAAATATATTAAAAAAGTAATAAACTGGCAATTATGATTGTGCTACGGACCCCAAACTGCAATTATTCATTACGTTTCAATTATTAACTTCACTTCAAATGTCTTTCGGCAAAGATTGCAAAAGAGAGAGAGAGAGAAAAAGAGTCCCGATGAAGCTCCGGACGCTGGTTCCTGGAGATGCATGTTTCACTCCGACTTGACATTTTCCTGATGTATGGGCTCTCTCAGTGCCGGGGGAACCCGATTAACAGCGGAAAGTCTCCTCCCTACCTAGCAAACAATAATCACCCACACATTACGGTTACCTGGTGCTGCTTTACCCAGAGCCTTGGCATGCAGGTTTCATTCACGTTAAACTGATGTTCATGAAGTGTGCAGATGCGAGACGCTCCCCATTTTATTAACGGGGACACGGAGGCCCAGGGATTAGGCAGAGGACACCCCCAGGTGGGGGGACTCGCCCCGGCTCCAAGGTGAATCCTGACCTATGGATAAAGTCAATCCCGGAGGACGATGGGGATGACGACCCTGGAGGTGGTGACCATGACCCATGTAACTATTTGCTGCAGATGAGCTTGCCCCTGAGTGCAGGGCACATGTCACCTTTGCCTGATGTCCCCAGGAGCCCAGTGGGGAAGTCACTACCACGATTCCACCTTTCGGAAACCTTTAGATGTGCCAAGTCCCACGGCCAGCATCCAGGGGCATCGTCGGACAGCAGCAGCGGTCACAGCCCTGGGGGTGGGCAGAGTGAGTGGATCCAGCGGTGACCGTGGGCCAAGCTCCACTGTAGGTTTTATGAACAGGGATCCTGAGGAGCGAGGACCTGCCCCCAGTAGAATCGGCCACCCCCCGCCCACCAACGCCCCTGCCCCCAACAGCCTCCCAAGCACCAGCCCCCCCATTCCATCGCCCCCCGTGGTGCAAGGGGAAACCGGGGTGGGGGAAGGGCAGGAGCTTCCAAGGGCGCAGAGGCTTGGGAAGACCCTCTTCCACCCGCGAAGCCAGGCCCACCCTGCACCCTTCCCCGCTCCCAGTTCCCCCGAGGGAGGGAGGAGAGTGGCAGGAAGATTGCATTTTTCTTAAAGTAAGCAGATGGCGTTAGATTTTAACGTGGTCATCAGGGGCCGGCTTGTCTCTGGTGCTAAAGGACTCCTCCAGTCCCCCCAAGAGTTCCGTTTGCACAGATTGATTGTCTGCAGTTTTGTCCGGCACGTCCTCGTCTCCGTCACGGGCACCGTGAGGCTTTGTCCCCATCTGGGCAGAGCTGCATGATGTAGCACTTTGGCCTTTAAAATATGCACAATAAATATTTTAGATTTGCTGATGGATGGCTTGCTCTTGTGACAAGGCTCTGGGTTTGCAGGGACCGGGAGGAGGGTGAGCAAACCTCAAAACCAAGTCCTTCCCAGCTTCACAAAGGGGCACCGGGCGCCAGGCAGGTGTGCGTGGGGGCTCTTCCGGTGGCCCCTCGGGGGTTGCTTTCTGAGATGCCCGAGTGCACGCTTCCTCATGTCGGGGGTGCCTTCTGGGTTAACTCCCTTCCCGGGAGTGCACACTGGGTACTTTGCACCTGTCCAACAATTGGATTTCCATGAAGCACCAGTGGGGTCTTTGGAACTCTAGATGACATCAGGCCGCGGGCCTGCTCAAAGCAGCCCACAGCTTCCTGTCACTCTCGGAATAAAGTCTGTTCTGCGGACCCCCTCACCCCTTACTGCCCCTCATCCCGTAAGCCGTCCACCTGGCCCCTGCTCCTCTTCCAGGAGCTACCAGCACATCCTGCCCCAGGACATTTGCACTTTCTCCTCCCACGGGGTCTCTCCCTGGCTGGCTCCTCTTTGTCGGCTAGGTCTCCACCGAAACATTCCACCTGATGTCAGAGAAGACATTCTCCAACACCTGCAGTGGGCTCCCCCAGCTCTGTCCACCCCTGTCCCCCAGCTCTGTCCACCCCTGCTCCCCCAGCCCTCTCCACCCCTGTCCCCCAGCTCTCTCCACCCCTG